AAGTCTTTCCTCCCCAACCTGACTGTACTGGCCCCGCCCCATAGATGGGATTTCAGTTCTTCAATCATGGAGGCTCAGCATCACATGTGGGCCTTACCTAGGGTGGTCTACATGTAAATCTAGCTTACCTAGGACCACCCATTCCTCCAGACTGACATCCACCCATCAAGAAATTTTATCATTTGTATAACTGCTCCCCAAACTGACGGTCCCTGGCCCCACCCCATAGATGGGATTTCAGTTTTTTCAATCATGGAGGATCAGCATCACATGTGGGCCTTACCTAGGGTGGTCTACATGTAAATCTAGCCTATCTGGGACCACCCATTCCTCCAGACTGACATCCACCCATCAAGGAATGTTATCATTTGCATAACTCCTCCCAAGAGCCCACCCACTGCTTGCATCATGGCTGAGGGCTCTTGAGAGGAGACCTCCCCCGAGGAGTCACAGACAAGATAAAACTAGGTAAACATTCTAACCCCCCCCCCTCCCCTGTCTAAAAACTAAAAGAAGAAAGTCTTGTCTGGCGTTGGGGGTACTTACTGCTGTATACAATCCGGTATATGGAGGACATCCAGGGACACCAGATGTGACAGTCCCAACAGATCTTTAACAAACGTCACCTTCTTCACAAACTTTGCACTGGAATAGATATTGAAAAAAAAGTATTAGGAACCGAAGAACACCAAATGTACCTCTCGATTGGCTGCAGGCTTGGTATAAGGTACTCTGCATGACCAAAAGATGGTGGACACCAGACCATCACACCTAGGAGGAGCTTGTTGGACGTCTCAATCCAAAATCATGGACTTGACCCTCCCCATGGCCATCAATATGGACTTGACCCTCCCCATGGCCATCAATATGGACTTGACCCTCCCCATGGCCATCAATATGGACTTGACCCTCCCCATGGCCATCAATATGGACTTGACCCTCCCCATGGCCATCAATATGGACTTGACCCTCCCCATGGCCATCAATATGGACTTGACCCTCCCCATGGCCATCAATATGGACTTGACCCTCCCCATGGCCATCAATATGGACTTGACCCTCCCCATGGCCATCAATATGGACTTGACCCTCCCCATGGCCATCAATATGGACTTGACCCTCCCCATGGCCATCAATATGGACTTGACCCTCCCCATGGCCATCAATATGGACTTGACCCTCCCCATGGCCATCAATATGGACTTGACCCTCCCCATGGCCATCAATATGGACTTGACCCTCCCCATGGCCATCAATATGGACTTGACCCTCCCCATGGCCATCAATATGGACTTGACCCTCCCCATGGCCATCAATATGGACTTGACCCTCCCCATGGCCATCAATATGGACTTGACCCTCCCCATGGCCATCAATATGGACTTGACCCTCCCCATGGCCATCAATATGGACTTGACCCTCCCCATGGCCATCAATATGGACTTGACCCTCCCCATGGCCATCAATATGGACTTGACCCTCCCCATGGCCATCAATATGGACTTGACCCTCCCCATGGCCATCAATATGGACTTGACCCTCCCCATGGCCATCAATATGGACTTGACCCTCCCCATGGCCATCAATATGGACTTGACCCTCCCCATGGCCATCAATATGGACTTGACCCTCCCCATGGCCATCAATATGGACTTGACCCTCCCCATGGCCATCAATATGGACTTGACCCTCCCCATGGCCATCAATATGGACTTGACCCTCCCCATGGCCATCAATATGGACTTGACCCTCCCCATGGCCATCAATATGGACTTGACCCTCCCCATGGCCATCAATATGGACTTGACCCTCCCCATGGCCATCAATATGGACTTGACCCTCCCCATGGCCATCAATATGGACTTGACCCTCCCCATGGCCATCAATATGGACTTGACCGTCCTTTGTGGCTATACCATCCATCATCTCCTGGGAAGACTTTCCAAAAGATTTTGCAGTGCGTCTGGGGGAATTTGCGCCCATTCAACCAAAAGAACATTTGTAAAGGTCAGGTACTGAAGTTGGACGAGAAGACCATCTCAAAAGGTGCTCAGTAGAGTTTAGTACAGGTGGTCATGACCCCTCCCCGAGGAGACAATGGAAGAGGAAGATCTGGACTTAGAAGAGGAGGACCTGTCAGGTATGGAACTGGAAGTGATGGCAAATCCACAAGATTTTGGAGGGTGTCTGTGGAAATTTGTGGTGAGGTCAGGTACTGATGTTGGATGAGAACACCTGGCTCACAATCCGTGTTCCAATTCATCCCAAAGGTGTTTAGTAGGGTTGAGGTCAGGGCATTCAAGTTCCTCCACCACAGTGGTCACACCATGTCTTTATGGAGCTGGCTTTGTACACAGGGGACAGTCATGGTGGAACAGAAAAGGGTCTTCACCAAACTGGTCACACCATGTCTTTATGAGCTGGCTTTGCACACAGGGGACAGTCACGGTGGAACACAAAAGGGTCTTCACCAAACTGTGACCACAAAGGCTGGAGGACCTCAAGTGTCTACAATGTCTTTGTTTGATGGAGTATTACCAGAACCTTCACTGGAGACACCATCATTGGGAGAGGTCCCTTCATAGATTTGGCCTTCTAGTAGGTGTGATGGTCAGGTGTCCACATAACGTTAAAAGGGAACCACTCTCAGCAGATTATGGCCGATCCGGGCTTCACTACCTAACCAGGTGAGGCCACTTGTCCCGGCACATCACTGGGGGCATTCTCCCAACAAGCCAAAGGCTCTTCTCATAATGTTACATTGACAGGTTCTCTTTGAGTTGAGCATATTAAACATTTCTACCGTGTAATGGTGGCATTCTTGGCTCTGCTCCTGCACCAGCTGTGCGATCACCGACACATTGGTGGATGAATGGAGTTTGAGAATGTATACGAACGAACTCACCTGATGAAGGGCCGCACTATGGCCAGCAGGGCCCTCACGTACCACGTGGGGTGGACGATCAACACCGACTTCAGATTTTTCTTTAACCTAAAAAAAAGCAAGAGAAGCATTTCCATGCCGGTATAATAAGACAACCAAAGCCACCTGGAGTCTCACTCCTGTCGCTGCACTCCTGCCGCTGCTATAAATGACTCTCGGTAAGGGTGGGCTCCCTCGTGATGATGGAAGCAAATGGGCGGAGCCGGGAACCCAGGAGCGGCAACCTCAAAAGCCAGGAGGGCGTCTGACCCACCAGCCAAGACAAAAATAAACATCTCCAAGTGTACCTGTCACGAAGACAACGGCTGCCTCACTTACCGCCTCCCGGTGGCCCGGTAGCACCGCTTGATCCAGTTGATGGGCGGGATTTTGCTCCGCGGAGTGCATCCGTTCAGGTAGATGAGCATGTAGTCTTCGGCGACCATCAAATCCAGCGTCCCGATGATATACCTGTGTGTACGGCACAAACCAGAGCTGGTGACACAGTGCGGTGCTGGTCTCCTGCAGCCTCTTTCCAGCCGCTTCCTGTCTACAGGCACTCCACCCATGGCTGCCACGGACAGGTTTCCGGATGGTGACAACAGTGGACCGCGTCTGTGCATGGCCATTTGTAGTCCACACATATCGTCAGCTGCGAGTCCTCAGTGGTACAATGCTGCCCTCTGGTGGCCATATAGTATTACAGCCATCACAGGCTGCCAACCATAGGGACCTCACTATAAAGTCACAGCGGGCTCAATCCACAAATCTAACACAGCGGGGATAATGATCCTTATTCTCAAAACGCTGACAGTTATGTTCGGCTGAGTCCATTATAAAAGTATAGTCACATGACCAAAATAGAGATCCTTATCCCCGTGTTAAAGAAGATAAGGATCCTTATTCTGTCATTTTAGTTTCATTGGATTTAAACTTTTTTTGGGAAGATTTGTATCCTTATCCTGGTATGTTGGCTTTGTGAATGGAGCCGTAAACCTGAACTCAAAAAGATACAAATTAAAACAGTTTTGTATTCATTGATTCATCATTAATTGTATATTTTTAATGCAGTGGAAGTGCTGAATGTGACGGGGTATCAGCCTCTTGCTGCAGGGATGGAGTACGAGACGAAGAAGCAGCACCAGGAGGCAATCAGCTCACGTGCTTGCAAGAAGCAGAGTGATAGAGAGGTGAGCTCATCAATGCGCTGCTTCTCCTTTCACTGTCCAGCCACTGGTTGGGGGCTCGTCCGGGATCATGCAGGCTGTCAGACTGAGGACATCTAGTGGCAGAAAAGAAGTACTGCGGGAGGGGGAGATCTCTGGATTAAAAGGGGTTGTTCCTCCTTCTTATAGGAGATGGCTTAGGCAGGTCTCGCTGTGGAAGTAACGCAGTCCATACCTGAACAGATTGTCCATGACGTACTGGTAATTAGGAATACTGCTTTCCGGCAAGTAACACGTGGCAAAAACAATGATCGCGTTTAAACTGTCGCCATAGTAGCCTTGGGGGGAAAGTAAAAGAGAAAAAGGTTTCAGAGTAGAAACAGCCGTTGGTTTATATCCACAAGAAGCATCATCTAGCCCTTTTCTCCCCAGCCCATCTGTCCATGGCCACGCCCCTTCATTAGATTTCAGTTCCTCCACTCGTGGAAGCTCAGCATCACATGTGGGCGTTACCTATTCAACTACAGCCTGCCTACGACATCCCACTCCTCCAGACTGACACCCAGCCGTCGAGGCATTTTGATACTTGCATAACTCCTCCCAAGAACCGGCCCACTGCTTGCATCAGGACCATGTAAAGCACCCTGTCAGCTCCTCCCACTAGCCAAGGCTTGCCTGCATTTCACGGGGAAGCACAGAGACCCAGCCAGGGTTACCTCCATGGGAGACGATCTTCTTGTACGGTTCTATGGCCGTCATGTCCACCTTATGCTCCCCCATGAGGAAAACACGCCACTTCCGCCCGCTCTCGTCCTCCATGTCGGTCACCAGGGTCTCCACGTATAAAGCCTCCTTAGTCCCTATCGCCTTCGGCAGGTCATCTGTTGGGGGGGAATCCAAAGAGATAAATAAATAGGGGATTCGCCACAGGGGTGGTGGGAGCCCCTCATAATGGGCACAGCGGGTGTACAGACCCGAGGACTCAGCACAGGGATGGTGGGGGCCCCTCATAATGGGCACAGCGGGTGTACAGACCCGAGGACTCAGCACAGGGATGGTGGGGGCCCCTCATAATGGGCACAGCGGGTGTACAGACCCGGTAACTCAGCACAGGGATGGTGGGAGCCCCTCATAATGGGCACAGCGGGTGTACAGACCCGGGAACTCAGCACAGGGATGGTGGGAGCCCCTCATAATGGGCACAGCGGGTGTACAGACCCGGGAACTCAGCACAGGGATGGTGGGGGCCCCTCATAATGGGCACAGCGGGTGTACAGACCCGGGAACTCAGCACAGGGATGGTGGGAGCCCCTCATAATGGGCACAGCGGGGGTACAGACCCGGGAACTCAGCACAGGGATGGTGAGAGCTCCTCATAATGGGCCCAGCGGGTGTACAGACCCGGGAACTCAGCACAGGGATGGTGGGAGCTCCTCATAATGGGCACAGCGGGTGTATAGACCTGGGAACTCACCAACAGGTCTTCTGAACTCAAAAAGTTAGCCAACAAGGGTCACATGGGCCTTCACCAAACCATGGAAAGAGTTAGAAGACCCGGAGACATCACCGGACCGGCACTCACCGTCCCACTCGAACTCGTGGCTCACGCTGGGAAATTCGAGCATTTCGCTGCTGTCGGGCGTTTCCAGATCTTCGGTGTCGAAGTCCAGCGTCTCGTCCGTGGTGGTGGTGCTGGTGGTCCACAACTCGCTGGAGGTGGCCGACTCCTGGCTTTTCTCCAGGTTGAAGCTGATGTCCGGGGCCGACAAGCGCCTCCTGACATGGCGGTTCCCGCAGAGGTCCAGGGTGCTCGCCGGGCCGGCTGCGACCAGAACACAAAATGATACCGAAGGTTAAAAACGAATCTTTACAGAATGAGGACGTCGGACCCGTCTCCGGGTGTCACAGTGACGGCCAAAATATTTAACGGGCGTCTAAAACCAAAACTTGTTGAAACTTTTTAGGTAGAGTAGGGATTTTTTTTTTTTTTGGTGTTTTTGGGTCCCATTGGGGAGATTCAACTTTACTTCCTGTCACAACAGGAAGTGAGGGGACAATCCTCCCATAGACAGATGTCACTGAAACAAGTGTCCCCATTTTTTTTCCCCCCTCTCTTCCTGTCCCCGGGGGGGGGGGGGCAAGTCAAACATTTTTGGATTTGCCATCACTTCCAGTTCCATACCTGACAGGTCCTCTTCTTCCAAGTCCAGATCTTCCTCTTCCGTCGTCTCCTCGGGGAGGGGTCTGCAGAAATAGAAGATCACCAGACTACATCACTGCGCCCTATAGGCTGCGGATCTACAATCTGCCAATCATTTGCTTGCTCGGTGTAGATGGGGGGGGCAACTTCGGCCCTCAAGCCGTGCAGAAACTACAAGTCCCATGATGCCTCTGTCTCTGGGAGTCATGCCTGTGACTGAGAGTCTTGCAATGCCTCATGGGACTTGTAGTCCCACAACAGCTGGAGCTGCCCACCCCCCCGCTTTAGACAATTATAGTTTCTTCCTTACCTGGGGAACTCCTCGTCCTGCCACTCCAGCTCCATGTCATCAATAGTCTGCTGGCCACCACCAGAGGGCGCTCTGTCCTTATAGCTGAAGGGAAGACACAGGATCGATCGGGTTATTATGGATGCTTGAGAAGGGTTCACTTATTTTTTTAATTCAATGATTGCATTGCAGAGGGGAGGGGCTTTAACGTGACCCGGGTCTGTGCTCTAGAACGGTTCACTTAAAAGGGGTGGAGTTATAAACCTTTTGCGTTGCCCTTCTCCCTGCGTTCCCCATCTCTTTGGGATTACATTGGAATGTTCTGCTTGTAATATCACATTGTGACCACTAGATGGAGCTAAATAGGAGCACAGGAAAGTATTTTCAATGCTCCGCAGCTGTAGTCACGCCCTCCTCCTGTTCATAAAAAGGAAACGGCTCCCTGCCTGTAATATCACACTATGACCACTAGATGGAGCCAAGTATTTTTCTCCAGCGCCATCTAGTGGCCGTCATGCGATATTACAAGCAGAGCGTTTCAAAACGTAATCACACACGTAAAAAGATAGACAACGTTCGTGCGTATATTCACACAGGGCGAACGTCAAACGCAAATTGTTTATAAATGAACCCCCAAAAAGTGCGTCTGAACCCGACAAAATATACTGCTGCAGCTTTCTGGATCTCAGGATGTGGCAGCTGCATTCGTTTTCCTTTTTTCCAGGCATCATTATCACCCGTGATCCGGCCAGTTACACACTTCCTGTCCTAGGGTGACAACGCTTGCTATACTGTGTCTATAGGAGGAGCAGGGTTGTCACCCATGGACAGATGGGGTTGCCACCTTTTCGTCAAGTGAAACCCGAACACTCTAGCGACGAGCGGACATTTTTTTTTTGGGGGGGGGGGAATAAGTTGCGGCTTATTCATATGTAAATAGCGCCGCCCATTCGTATGTAAATAAATCACAGTTGGGGGCAGTAGCCCCTATCTCAATTTTGGTTGCCCGTCTGCCTGACACCTTGTGTCCAGGTCTCTCCTGCCATGAACATTCAAAACCCGGACTGTCCAGGTACAGAACCCCTCCCTCCCTTCTAATGTCCCTAACGTAGGAGAATGGGGGTTTGCTAGACCATACACACCTTCTACCCTAGGGTGACAACGCTCACACACTGTATATATCCATGGAGAAGCAGTGTTGTCGTCACCTAGGACAGGAAGTGTGTTAGGACTTCAGAACAACTCCCCCTCTCAACTTTTTAACACAGAGGGGGTGAGAAGTCATGACTTGTCTCTCTTGGTGGCCGAACAGAGCAGGGGGGGTAGCACAGTGAAGGGGAGTATGTGCCGCGATCATTTAAAGGAACACGTCGCTTTGCCCTGCGTGGTCAAGTCTCCAGCTTGTGCCGGAAATCGGTTCCTGCCTGCTCGTGGATGGAAGTAATTTGCCAGAGCAAGTCATAGGAGGGCACTGAAGGTGTTAAGGTCATAAAACCATGATGTGCCAGTGAGTCAGTCATTACAGACCGTCTCAGGATGAGCCGAAGGATTTCATTGGTGGATAATAAGTGATTAAGGTTCATTATTCTTTTATGAAGAAGGGACAACCCGCCTTTTATAGGGTCGGATGTCTTCGGGATGTTGTCACACCGGCCTGTTCATGAAGGTAACTTGCCGTCTGCAGTCTATTAAATTGGGAAAGGACCCAGAAGTCATAATGAGATCCAGTTTTTGAGGTATTGCTCCGAGTCCATTCCTCCACCATGACTGTCCCCGGTGTACAAAGCCTGAGGAAGGGGGAGGTGTCCACTACCGAAACGTGTTGGCTGTTGGATCATCAAACCTTTTTTTGGACTTCGATTTGGTTTTTGTGCCTTTTTTATGTCCAGTCTTTAAGTTGCTTCCTTTGGAGACCGGGCGTCGTTGAGCTACCCAACCATAAGCTAAACAAGCCACCTTCAGGCTCAAGCTGGGTCCATCATGAAGGACACCAAGAAACTCCTCCCAGCACCTCTGAAAGGCAACCACATTCCCCTCCACCGCACGAGGCCGCAAGCACACGCCTGATTTTTTTCTGCAGTGTATCCAACGTTAAGAAGGTTAAGATGGCCTAGGGTGGGGGGACTTTTGTAGATCCGGGAAGTCATTTTGGAAGTCTTTATATTCTACATGTTGCAGGGCAGGGACTGAGAGCTTTGAAGACATGGATGGCCAGGCAACTAGCATCTCCAGAAGCAGAAATAAGCAATAACGGACTTCGGGTTTCTTTGGTGACCATGAGAAAGACATCCTCCATACTAAAGTTTGTGGTCACCTGACCATCACACCTATACGACCTTTGTGGACATACCATTCTAAAACCATGGCCATCAATATGGAGCCTCCACCCTCCATGGCCATCAATATGGAGTTGCCTCCACCTTCCATGGCCATCATTATGGAGTTGCCTCCTCCCTCCATGGCCATCAATATGGAGCCTCCACCCTCCATGGCCTTCATTATGGAGTTGCCTCCTCCCTCCATGGCCATCAATATGGAGCCTCCACCCTCCATGGCCTTCATTATGGAGTTGCCTCCTCCCTCCATGGCCATCAATATGGAGCCTCCACCCTCCATGGCCTTCATTATGGAGTTGCCTCCTCCCTCCATGGCCATCAATATGGAGCCTCCACCCTCCATGGCCTTCATTATGGAGTTGCCTCCTCCCTCCATGGCCATCAATATGGAGCCTCCACCCTCCATGGCCTTCATTATGGAGTTGCCTCCTCCCTCCATGGCCATCAATATGGAGCCTCCACCCTCCATGGCCTTCATTATGGAGTTGCCTCCTCCCTCCATGGCCATCAATATGGAGCCTCCACCCTCCATGGCCTTCATTATGGAGTTGCCTCCTCCCTCCATGGCCATCAATATGGAGCCTCCACCCTCCATGGCCTTCATTATGGAGTTGCCTCCTCCCTCCATGGCCATCAATATGGAGCCTCCACCCTCCATGGCCTTCATTATGGAGTTGCCTCCTCCCTCCATGGCCATCAATATGGAGCCTCCACCCTCCATGGCCTTCATTATGGAGTTGCCTCCTCCCTCCATGGCCATCAATATGGAGCCTCCACCCTCCATGGCCTTCATTATGGAGTTGCCTCCTCCCTCCATGGCCATCAATATGGAGCCTCCACCCTCCATGGCCTTCATTATGGAGTTGCCTCCTCCCTCCATGGCCATCAATATGGAGCCTCCACCCTCCATGGCCTTCATTATGGAGTTGCCTCCTCCCTCCATGGCCATCAATATGGAGCCTCCACCCTCCATGGCCTTCATTATGGAGTTGCCTCCTCCCTCCATGGCCATCAATATGGAGCCTCCACCCTCCATGGCCTTCATTATGGAGTTGCCTCCTCCCTCCATGGCCATCAATATGGAGCCTCCACCCTCCATGGCCTTCATTATGGAGTTGCCTCCTCCCTCCATGGCCATCAATATGGAGCCTCCACCCTCCATGGCCTTCATTATGGAGTTGCCTCCTCCCTCCATGGCCATCAATATGGAGCCTCCACCCTCCATGGCCTTCATTATGGAGTTGCCTCCTCCCTCCATGGCCATCAATATGGAGCCTCCACCCTCCATGGCCTTCATTATGGAGTTGCCTCCTCCCTCCATGGCCATCAATATGGAGCCTCCACCCTCCATGGCCTTCATTATGGAGTTGCCTCCTCCCTCCATGGCCATCAATATGGAGCCTCCACCCTCCATGGCCTTCATTATGGAGTTGCCTCCTCCCTCCATGGCCATCAATATGGAGCCTCCACCCTCCATGGCCTTCATTATGGAGTTGCCTCCTCCCTCCATGGCCATCAATATGGAGCCTCCACCCTCCATGGCCTTCATTATGGAGTTGCCTCCTCCCTCCATGGCCATCAATATGGAGCCTCCACCCTCCATGGCCTTCATTATGGAGTTGCCTCCTCCCTCCATGGCCATCAATATGGAGCCTCCACCCTCCATGGCCTTCATTATGGAGTTGCCTCCTCCCTCCATGGCCATCAATATGGAGCCTCCACCCTCCATGGCCTTCATTATGGAGTTGCCTCCTCCCTCCATGGCCATCAATATGGAGCCTCCACCCTCCATGGCCTTCATTATGGAGTTGCCTCCTCCCTCCATGGCCATCAATATGGAGCCTCCACCCTCCATGGCCTTCATTATGGAGTTGCCTCCTCCCTCCATGGCCATCAATATGGAGCCTCCACCCTCCATGGCCTTCATTATGGAGTTGCCTCCTCCCTCCATGGCCATCAATATGGAGCCTCCACCCTCCATGGCCTTCATTATGGAGTTGCCTCCTCCCTCCATGGCCATCAATATGGAGCCTCCACCCTCCATGGCCTTCATTATGGAGTTGCCTCCTCCCTCCATGGCCATCAATATGGAGTTGCCTCCACCCCGCATGGCCATCAATATGGAGTTGCCTCCACCCTCCATGGCCATCAATATGGAGTTGCCTCCACCCTCCATGGCCATCAATATGGAGTTGCCTCCACCCTCCATGGCCATAGATGGCCTCTTCCCCCCATGGCCATTAACATGAAGTTGGCCTCCCTTAGTGGCTATACGATCCTCCACTTTTCTCCATGTGATTTTGGAGGGTGTCTGAGGGAATTTGTCCCATTGGAGAGGTCAGGTACTGATGTTGGATGAGAAGACCGGGTTACAATTCATCTTAAAAGGTGTTCAGTAGGGTTGAGGTCAGGGCTCTGTGCAGGACCCTCAAGTTCCTCCACAAATCTGGTCACACCATGTCTTTATGGAGCTGGCTTTGTACACAGTGGACAGTCATGGTGGAACAGAAAAGGGTCTTCACCAAACTGTGACCACAAGGCTGGAAGATCACAATTGTCTACAATGTCTTTGTATGAGGTAGGATTACCAGAACCTTCACTGGAGACACCTGATCTCCTTCTGTAGGTACGGGATCTGCATGCGGTTGGTCCTATAGGTAGATTTGATCGTCAGGTGTCCATACATGTTTGGCCATGTAATGTATGTTCAGAAACAGTGATGTTCACACCTAAGAGGATCGCCTCGCCAAGCAACCTGACCCTGAGAAC